TTGGTCTAAAATTAAGTACCTATTTTTTTTACATAATTCGAATGAGAATCATGTACCGAGTATTCTCCTTAAATATTGATAGTAATTCACCAGTCACCCTGTATATGAATAAAAAAAATAATTTATGATATTTTCTAGTTATGAAATTTTATTTAAGAATCAATTAATAATACTTTGTTTCTACTTATTTACTTAATACATGATAAATTGTATTGTTATTGTGTTATCGCATATTTAAAGGGAAAAAAAGATACACATAATTATTGACTTCGGTACACTAAATATATTCTGTCTGCTTTTACTATCAAAACCGACGAGTACCGTAATGATACGATAGTAAAGAGAACTGTCTTACTACAAGTGGCATAGTTAATATTTGATTATTCGTAAACCTACAATAATACTATGCCTTCCTTTGCTCCTGTCTTTCGAGGACAACAGCTCAGTTAGGTAATTTGACTAAACAAACACAACACATATATACAAAAATAGACTATTACACTACTACGAATATTACTCATCTCGTATGCCTGTGATCACAGTTAGTGCAAAGTAATTGAAACTTCGGGAGTAAGTAGTTTTTAAAATATGACATCAATATGTCATAATAATGACATAATCTTGTTATAATCAAGACATCGTCACGTTATTTGAAAATTTGATTTTATATGGTATGCAAATATGTAACTATAAAATTTTATTTGCATTAACGCTTCAAATAGTAATTATGAATACTAAATGTTATGATCAAGATATTTTTTATTGCTCATAGAGTAAACTGATGAGACATACTGAATAATTATAATGGAAAATTTTATTACGTGATGCACGTTCTCTTCAAACTTAATCCTGGTGTGAAATTTATTTTACTCGTAAAAAATCTTTTTATTAGAACAATGAGAGTGGCTATAAGTTTTATATATAATTCAGGTAACAATCATATTTCTTTAATTTTTTTGTTATTTTTAAATAAATATGAAAAATCTTTTTATAGGGATTTCAAAAAAGTATTCAATATAAAAGAAGTACAAAAAAGTCATAAACTGTTTAAGAGATTTCAATATTCATACAAAATAAATATCACTCAAATACATAGGTATGTGTATATTACTTCTTATCTCATTCCTTTTTAATCTCAATATTTTTCTTTGGTCTTCATTTATTATATCTAAAATTTGTTAGAAATTCAAAGTATCAGTTTTATGATTTTTGACTTAAAAAAGCTGATAGGGAGATACTTTAAGTTATAAAGAAATGTTGAGAAATTCATAAATTCACAAAATAATCATCTTTTTTTCATACTAACATTCATACGACCAATTTGCCACAAAAACCAAACCTAATTTTATTTTTAAAATGTCCTTTCTTATTTCACCAACATATTTTTTTGTATTTTCTATGTCTAGATCAAGTTTCGAATGTTTGTTGGTGATCGATCAATTCTTGCAAAATATGTTGTATATCTGTTATGTTTCAAAGACGCTGTTACAAATATAAAATATAATATAATACTTTTAATCACATAGTATAATGTTGATTAAAATACTGTTTTACTGTCATTAGGTTTTCTAGCATAAAAATGATTTAAAATTTAAAGTATTTTGAAGTTTATAATAATATTATATCTATTTTTTGCGTCCACATGAAAATCAAATTATTGCTGATTAGAAGAAAAATTTCTTCACGATGGAAAAAGAACAGAATACTATTGTGTTGGCTTTGAATAAGTATGTGTTGATATTATAAAGAAGTTAATATGAGTAAAATTGCATATTGTAAAAAAAGAAAACCATAATTTTTAAGTTTTTTGAATCATCTTTAACAATTTTCTCAACAACTTTTTTTACAAACAACTGTCCTTTGAAAATTTGCTGACACTGATCAAAATAGTCATATTCAATATCATTTGCCGCCTAAAGGATTATGTAGCTAAATATCTTTTCTTTTCTTTTTTTAAATAGACGGCATATCTGTTGAAATCTAGTACATAACGTCCAGAATTTAACGATTTTTTTAGTGGTGCTAGTTACTTAAGCGTTGCTACGCTTTTATGGCAACACATTTATTTCAACAGTTGTAAACATTTTCAAAATTTGTAATATATATATATGATTCCAATTTTTTCTGTTAACTCCACTTACCAAGAAATTAACAATAATAAATTAAACCAATAACATATTCACCACAAAATCAGATTCAATCACCAGATTATACTAGGCACATTGTTGGAATTAATAATTAATAGGCTTTGTTTCTCGGATTATTTATGACTTATATATTATATTTATATTTAATAAGTGTATTTTTTTGATAATATTTTTCGTCTATGGCAAATAACTATTACCTTAACGCTACAGTTTTTGGTAAAAATGCTAGAATTAAACCGAGAGCATCTAATTTAAAACGTCAAGAAGGACCTTTATATACGAAAGCTTATTGTTTTCAATAAACGTAACAAAAATATTATGGATACTTCATCTGAATGAAACCTGTTATCACACATATAAAATTCCATCACAAAAATATATTTTCATTAATATACATGTTATATAATTTCTTTGAAATATATTTTCTGACTTTGCAATTTCAGATTAAAGCTGTGTTTGGAAAATGCAGCAATATAAAGCAAATAGTCCAACAATGTTTTCTACGAACGTTGCGTGCATTTGGGAGATAAAGTGAACAATAGCTTCACCCACCACACTGTGTGTAATGCACTTTGTACTATTTTAGTAAATAAAGCATTTAATATTCATAATATTATAAATAAACGTACATATTATATTCAATGAATTGGACTTGAAAATTATAAAACATTTTTTTATTTCTGGTAAACTAATAATAATTTAAGACAAAACTTTAAGTTTATTAGATCTACATTCTTCTTTGTAGTTTTCTAAAAGAAGTGGTTTTTAAAAATAATATGCTTTGTTTACCATTTTACGTAATGGATATACCTAACAAGGATGCTTCTCGAATGTCGAGACGACAGCTACTTGACGAGGAAACAGATACACACACAGGAACGGTTAGAAAAAATTAATGAAAAGTACGAAACCGCTAGATTGATTCATGATAGTATCAAATCCAATGAACGGAAATTAAGAAGGTTAAACCACGGATTGAAGTTAATTTCATAACACGATTTCCTTAGTTTCTTTTTTATTTTTATGGGAAGTACTGGGATTCTGAGTACTGAGTTACCTAATTCATTACAAAAAAATCCATCAACAGTGGTCACAAAAACAGATATAAAGTATAGTTTAAAATTAAGTAAGTAAACTTCTTAAAGTCCGTAAAAATTATATCGTATCAAAGCACAATATATTACAAAATATATTATAAATAAAAATAGAAACTTTTAATAATTATGTTTTCGATAAATACTTCAGACTACATCTTGCCTGCAGGTATATATTATCATACGAGAAATTCTTTTTATTAGAATAAGAAATTTTTATTTCATGTAACATTTTTTCTTTAAAAAAAAAACTCAGTTTATTTTTAAACATTCTCAAGTGTTACAACTTGAAAAATATTGTAGAAAGAGCGTTTTAATGTAAAATTCTATTAAATGCTACAATAAGTTTAGCTACGCAATTAACTTAAACGATTCTCAGATTCCAACTAATGTTTAGTTTTCTTGTAATTTACATTCCAATATATCCTTGTTTTATTCTTGAAAATATATATAGGATTATGTAAACATGCAGTTATATCCAGAAACTGTAAAGTCACAGTGAATCTTCCTAGGTTTATAACGACAGACATGTGAATAATTTAACATATTCCTTTATTTACGTCTTGATAAAGTTTACAAATCCGTTGTGCGCTACGAAATTAATTCTCGTTAGGATTCGTATCCTCTAATAAATCAGACTGTAGGAACGTTTGTTATATTTACTTAAGATTCATATTAGGAGATCAAACGTACGCACGTGTAAACATATTTGTTGCTTGGACTATTAAAATTTGAATCTGCGTCTAAATTCAAATTTATCTTTACCTCTATAAATACTGATAGAAAAAAAAGACAGTTTCCATAAATTACATAGTTTATTATTTCAATCGGAACTTTATACAAATATGACAATTACATAACACAATATTTAAAGGGATCAGCAGATTGTAATAACAATTACAATTTAAACCTTAAAATTTAACAAATATACAGTTTCATAAATTATATTTTACTTGTTAAGAGAATGCAAGAACTTCTAAAGCATTTTAGAACAATGTTTAAAAAAGATCCTATACATATTATATAGTTTCTTGCATTGATTTATATTTAATACACGTTACATACAATAGTAAGATCAAAATTACCACATAGTATATACATTTAATTTAGCCTTAACATTAATATTTTATATATTTTTTGCTACATAGTGTATATCTATATCGAAATGCCACTATTTAACAAGTTCGAGTAATAGTACATTATTTTTAAATATTTTTACAATTACTTCATGCATGTAAATCAACAATGCCACTCATAAAAATACTTTTTTATTCTTTATTACTGTATATGACTTATATTGACAAATTCATAATGAATAATTTAATTGTCTTTTAATTTGGAATTCCTCACTTACTTGCTAAGCACAGTTTAAATTAAAATGTCATGAAAACCAATTTAATTACGCAGGCTTAAAAAATATTTTTACATCAGTTTTAAGATCATGAAAACCTGAAGACTTTATTTAAGCCTCAAGGAATTATATTAACATTCTTAGTATGATTAACCATAAAACTATTCAATTAATTATTTTTTAATAATTTTTTTTATACTATACTTGTTATATCGGAATATATAGAACGTTCATTGTATGATATGTTACTTACAAACGAGATTATTTACAATTGATTTGGTATTAAATCTGTCATAAGTTTATACTAAGAATAAAATCTTCTAATTAATATTTAGACAATCACCTTAGGCCTTTTGAATATACATTTTGTTATACAATGTAGGTCGGATTATGAAATTAGTTGTCATTTTATCTATCAACAGATTTTTCATTTATATCCGTAATGAAGTCATTTGGGTCTCTTATTGTCATGATAGTCACACCGTCAGCACTATTCCTTGATATGATGTTGTTTTTCTTCTTCGTGCTACCGTAGTCGTAATTCGATATCACCACACTTTCTGTTGGGTTCCTGTTAAGGTATTAATATCTATTTAAAATCTAATAATTTTAGTGAAATAAAAAATTAAAAGTGTAAATGATTATTCGATTTATAAAATTCGAACACTTTTATAAATATAAAATTCGGTTTTTATTATGAAACTATGTACAGTTATTACCCTGAGCAGTATCAACAGCAGCCGATTTGCAGTTTACAATTGTTTATGATCACGTAACGTTTTGCTGGAAATGACATTTCTACTTACAGTTAACGCTGTCTCCCTGACTCGTGAGCAATTATATAATTCATAGAAATTTAATACAATACTATGATGAATGTTACTCACGATTTCGAAAGCGTTTGCCTTGAAATACAAAAAGAGGTCTCGTAGATATTGTACGGTGCTTTTAAAGTTTTCTGTCGAAATACATCTCGCCTGCAGCATAGATATCGGATGAAATATTTCTTATAGACGTCACTCATGCAGTATAGAGCGACAGGATTGACGCAGGAGTTGATAAATCTGATAGATGCAAAATAAAAATCATACATACGTTTTCGATGTGTTAATAATCCTTTACTCCGCACTAGGACTCGACGAGAAAATACACGAAGATCGGCAAGACACACTACCAATTATGCATTCCGCTATGGAACAAAGACTGTTTTTCTCATCCTACCTACAACGATGGCGTTGGGTGCTTCTAAAGGAGGTCTCGCATATAGCTGTCCGTGACAATCTAGAACTGCAAGTGGGATGCAGGGCGCTCCGTCGGCAACAAAGATAACGGTTGAAGTGTTGCCTGAAGACACCACTCACGCAGTAAAGGGCGACCGGGTTAACGCAGGAGTTCAGAAAACTGGTTAAACCAATGTTACTTAGAATATAATGGCTTAACAACGGGTTCTAGAAGTGTACAATGTGTAAGGGTTTTACCCTAATCTTTATTTATGTCAAGAGTAAGTGATTGATAAATAATACCGTAATATATTACTTTTTCGGATTTGTAAGTATAATTGTTGGAAGAAAACAATCATTCAATAATTATCTTGGAATAAAATTACTATACAAATATTACATTATTTATATTTATATATGCTATTGAGGTATTTTCCATGAATTTAAAGAATATTTTAAGCCTGAGAATATCAATTTATGAAGTTTTTCATATTGTTAATTGTTCTATTGGTGGAATTTTAACATAGAAAAGATTTACGTTTATGATACTTTTCAACTAAATATTATTATAAAGATTTTTTTAAACAAGTTTTTTATGCACAAGTTAATAAAACTATTTGATTTGATTCATCCGTTACTGAATAATCTAAACGGTTTTTCATTTTGGTTTCCTCAGAGATATTATGATAAAATTTTAAGTGAAAACATCCGTTACTCTCACAATATTTCAAAAATATGATTTAAGCTATAAATACAGCTACAAAAAATCTATCTCATAGGGATATTAACGAAAATGCAGAAGTATTTAAATGAATTTTAGATGATTTTCCCAACTCGTATATAATTGCTTACCTTAAACAAAATGCGATTATTCTGAGAGCGTGTGTCCAGTCATTATAATCGTTTTGAGCCGTCGGTGAAAGATACCACCACAGTTCTAATGCATGGTATGGCAGGAAGCAAATAAAAAATACTGAAACAAATTTAAGACTTACTTTTTGTTTCACAATGCTGCTATGAAGTGGTTAAATGATGTTCGTATTTTATATTCAGCATTGTCATTTTTACAAATGTTAGAAGTTTTATTAGGTGTAATAAAAACATTGTTATACAGCATTAGAATTCTTTATGGTCATGTAAATAAAAAAATAATCCCTATTGCTGTTAAACATAATTTTTCATTTTATTATTATCCTGTAAACAGACTCCAACACGATTTTACCCCCGACAGTTAACTGTAATTGGCTATTTCATGGCTGCTAAAAAAGTAAAATTATTCATTCTAAAAACCTTTAATGATCTGCTTCTTATATTTTTATTTACTCACAAAATCCTATTAAATACAGTAATGGATGTTTATTCGTCACAAATAACTGTAGCTATTATATTTTGTTGATATGTACAAGTAACCATTTTCCTTTATACCTTTTTTCAGACTTAATATTATTTTTATAGAATGTTGTTAATCATTATATTGTATCATTATTTGGAATAACCTTGATTTTTGAAAATGTAAGTAAGACTATTCGTAATATTATTTCAAACAAATAGCTGTCGAATAATCCTACGTAAACTTATCATTTATTTATACACAACAAAAATATAATATCAAACTTTTTATTATAAATCAAAGAAAAATTTCATGAAAGTAAATTTTTGATTCATTTACAATTTGAACAAAAATATTTGTCAGGGAAACATTTCGTAAACTATACTAAAAAGATTTAGGAATAAATTACTTCTTCCATAAAAAATAATCACAGCTTTCTTTGAATTCAATTTTAAAATAATATAATTTATTAAATCACTTGGAACAGAAAACTGTTTTGATAAAATTAAGAACATCGCTACTTGTTGCCGATACAGATAAAACCCTTTTATATGGTGATATCAACATCACCCTTCTAACCCTATTGATAATAAATTTCCTAACATAACTTCCTTTTATCATCCACCGTACGACGCTTATCCAAATTGATGTTCACGATAAGCCCGATCGCATTAATTTCGTCACTGCAATTAATAATACATACCGCAACTGATGATTCAAACTCAGATTATCGACAGCTATTAGTAAATATGTTAACGTTTATATTAATATTATGTCCAATCTCTTTACAATTTACAAATGTAACTAATTCAACTATCGATAATTTCCCGAGAGATGTTATTACTTTAGATGATAAATATCGCTTACCTGTAAAAAGTTCAACTAAAAAGAGCACAGCTTCAATTAAAATGAGACTACATTATCCACTGTTGTGAAACAGTAAAAATTCTGTTACTTTGTATCACCTCAAAGTTTTGTTTATACTAAATTAAGGTCAACCTTAAAATTTTAAATGTACCGTTTCGGGACTAAATTTTCATTGAAAATTAGAAACTTTTATATGATTATGTTGGCAGTTAGTATAATGACCATATATAATTAAGACTAAAAATAATAAATAAATTCACAAAGGCCTTTTTGGGTAAGGAGTTAATGATATATAAACATGGAATTTCGCTTCGTAAATCATTGGACGGTCTTTTAAAAGAGAGATGTTTTGATACGATGCCTATTATACATAACCCTTTGGCCTACGTTTTTTAACGGGCGTTATAAATCTTTGGTTATTATAATTTTTTTCACAAACTAAATAAAATAAAATTTTCAATGTATTTTTATACTGAACACTTGAATACATTTTTGAAAATCATAAAAAACTTTAATATTACAAATATTATCAATTCCAAAAAAAGTGAAAGTTATTATACTATAATATTAAACCTTATATAATTTAAAAAGGAATCAGATTTCGTCTAAAAAACTAACAAAACTGAGAAAAGGCTTTATCAACGGTATTTAAAAGGATTGGAAGTGTCATCCCAGTATTGGAATATTTTCATATGTATTTTAAATCCATTAAAAGGAAAATTATGTTTCTCAAATGTTTCAGTTAATTATCACACTGACAAACATAAAAACAGTAAGTATGTACAACAAACAAACGTTAAAAAAAAACAATTTTTCTGTTAGTTATCAGAAAATGTATTAATACTAATTTGTTGAAATGTATACGCATATACTTTCAAAAATAATAAATATGCTTATTCCTAAATCTCAAAAACGGATTGTTTAAGATGACATTATGAGTATTACATGTAGTACGAATTCCATGCTAAATATATAAATTATCAATATAACAATACCGTCAGTAATAGAAAAATAGTATTTCAAAGAGGCGTTGATTCTTACCAATAACAAAAATCAAGACCATACAGGCCACAGATTTTCTCGCCTTAGCTTGAGCTTCTCCCTGCCCACCGTGTAAAGCGCCAGGCATCTCCTTGGTACTGGCCAATAACCTTTGAGCCATTAGCGAATAGAAGGATGCGATCACCAGAAGCGGTAGAGCGTAATAAACGATTGCTTTAGTCAAAGTCATCCATCTGGAGGAATGTCAAGGTAATTTAATTTTGACTCTAATAGCCGGTCATTCATATAATTGCTTTTATTTTAGTTCAGGAGTTGAATTTTCTAAACTTGTAGTGGATTTAGTTGCGTTAGGTAAAAATATATTTTTAAATGTATATAATTTAAAAATTTGAATAAAGGTACAAGAAAACTGTAACGTTAAATTGTGATTTGAAAAATAATTGCAATATCAGATTAAAATCTAAAACTAAGTTCAGTAAAAATAAACTAAATGTCAGAAAAAACATTAAATAACATGACTTTTCAGGATCTTGTAAAAACAAATTTGAGAATTTCTTGTCATCAAAAAATAGATTGCATTTGTCTTCAAATGTAACTATTCATTTATTGTCAAAAGCAGAGTTTGTTACTTTAAAGTAAATAACAATCAATATGGAATTAACTAGAAAATCATTAATGACCATCTAAAGAGCATTTATTTCTGTGAAGTCTTATTATTAGAGATCGCTATCGCAATGGTTTCAAAAATAACCAATATGACGTGTCTTTTGTAACATTTTTTTTACTAAAAATCTTTAATTGCGAAATCACACCAATACAAAAACCGATTTGTATTAGTACTATTTTTAAGTGCTCTTAATCCCGGAATAAAACCAAAGATAAAAACTGAATATTCAAAGCATGTTGAATTTAACGAAAGCAAAAACTATCAATAGCAATTACGATCTTGTTAATATTAAAATACTTTCAATTATTTATATATTAGATAATAAAACAAAGGAAATATATTTTTATTTAATAGAAAACTGATATAAAGAAACATAACATTGTCTGTTTGTGATATTAAAGAAAATAATTTTACCAAGTGCTGAAAAAGTTTTTTAAAAATTCCTTCAATCTGTCTGTTAGTTCGAAGTAATTTTGGAAATATCTAGATTGAAAGTTATTTTCATCCTCAAATACCTAAGCTATACCTAATAAAGTAAATCAGGCTGTTTTTATTTATCGATATTAATTTTCATTAACATAACTAATAAATAAAAACTATTCCAGATGGGAAAATCCGAGTTTACAGAACCTCTTTATTAGATAATCTCTATAAAAATAAAGGCAGATAACTAATACTACTATCACACAATAATAGCTTTATACGTACTTGGAATAATTCTTCCACGTAGCCGGGTATGGAGAACAGTAAACAATAGATACATTGTCGTCTATTTCTTCAGTTGAGATATTAGAAAAAAGAGCGGCCGGCGCTGCGAAGATGAGTGCAGCCACCCATATAATTGTAGCACATACTAGAGGTAGTTTACGAAGCTGAAAAACAAGCCCTTTAGCCTATAAAAGCTGATGCAAATTTAATATTCACACGTCGCGATTGAAAGCATTTTTATGTTCTGGTTTTGTTTTTCTCTTAAGAAAAAGAAAATTTTATATCATTGTTTTTATAACATTCATCATAAAAAATAAAAGAAAATATTTTAAAATTTACCTAACTTAGTGTATATATTTAATAAACCTCATAGCTGTAAGCAAACAACTTAATATAGGGTCGATAGTAATATTTACAATGATTAAAGTGAAGATATTATGAAGGTTTTATTAAAATACAAGCATATATTATATTTTACTCTGAACATGTTTATGTTTGAAAGAGCAAACATTAAGACAAACGTTTCATACAACTCTCCACATTGCACGAGTTTTCTTCGTCATGTTACGCCAACACTGAAACCGCTAACGAGCTATGCTAACATCCTAATTAAAGGTAACATTTAATTGAGGACTCTCTAAACAATTAACTACTTCATTAAATGACATCGCCAAAATAATAGCAACAGTGTAAAGCTATTAGTAACATTATATGTATTATTCGTGAAGTTAAATTGGTATGAAATGGACTGGTGCGAATGAATGTGCTATTATCTTTGGGAATTGGATAACTTTTTTATTTTCTCATTTTACTCTTATAACTGACGCCTTGAAACGCGTGTAGAGTATTTATTTTATGAAGACTTTCAGAATGTTTTTCTGAATTGAAGCCTAGATTTTATTAAAAGAATTAAATTCTTTTTCTACTACACTTAATAACAAATACAACTTCTCTCTTAAATATTTTGTAGAAAATATCATCGAATGTAACAAAATACCGTAAGAAACTTCTCACAAATAGAATTCAATCTATTTTTTATAACAATGTATTGTACCTGAAGTTTTCTGAAGGGGTTGACAATGGCGCAGTAACGTTCCGCTGATAGCGCAGTCAATGTGAATACTGAAACTCCAATACTTATATCTTTCCCAGTCTCCGATATCCTGCAAATGGCCTCACCCCACGGCCATGACTCAAGTGTGTATATGACCGACACAAAAGGAACGCAAATCAAAATTACGAGCAGGTCGGCTAGGGCGAGGGAAAAAATGTATCTGAAAAATTTTTATAAGCTAAGCTTAGATAGTCCCATCTGAATATTATTAGACATTAACTTAATATTTTCTTAGATTCTATTGAAAGGTCTTCATAAATTATCGTACTCTAAAAAAACGAATATAGTTTTTTCAAATAGGCCTAACAAATATTCGCTCTCTTACTTACAAAATAAATTGAGGCGTCGACATTTACAAATAGCACGGAAACATTTCACGTGTTGAAACTTAGATAAATTTGACCGACCGTATAAAAGACATCTTTAACACTTACGTATTTGGAGCATTTCTCATGCCTCTGTGTCTCACATAAACAACAACCAGGGTACCATTTCCCAATACTCCTACAATAAATATAATAGCAAATATTATGGGCACAAGGTAGGTTTCAATGCGGTCGCTGTATGGAGTGTAGTCACTGTTTGTGGCATTTGTATCCTCTGTTGGAAGAACCGAATTCAGAGATGTATTCATTTTATATCTGTAACAATAAAAAATAATAAAGTCTGAGAAGGAAATAATTTTGTATCAAGCTTATAGTTATAGTTGACGTTTCTTAAAGTATATTTTGTAATCACTTAGAGTAATCAATAATCATTTTGAAGCGTGGTTTGTTGCAAGCTGTTTTGTAATTTAAACATTATGATCATTGACAAAAAGACTTTTTTACCGTCCAATTCATGAGCAATATCAAGACTAATTGTATAAATAAGTCCCACATCTCGCTCTCTTTCTCTCAGTACATCTCAAAATAACCACAGGAGAAGTGCCAAGTAATTAGATATTCTATAAAAAGCAGAACTGTGAAGATATGTTTAACTGTTATATTATATAACCCTGTATATTTAAGATTGTTATATCCGAGAGAGTCAGCACTTTCGTAATCAATCCTGTGTAAGAAATAATGTTTGTACAAAAGCAAAATAATAAGGTTATTGAAGAATACTATTTCCTATATTTATTACTATGAAAATCTAAACCGAAATGATACCAGAGATATGCAATGTGTGCTTATGATCTTAGTTTAAACTCAAGTTTGGAACTGACTTAACTAACCGTTTATATTCCATGCTGAAACTTGTAAATTGCAGCCTAAAGTATGAAGAACGCATCTTGAATGCAAGACGTCATATACTAACTCGTAATTAAACTAGTGAGACATTAATTCCGAGAAAGTTTAGTTGTATAAAATCATTCTGCGTTCGCTCTCAACTTATTCTGTATGAACAGCATAATTGAGTAATAATACAAATTTATTATTATATAATTATTCACTCAAAGTTCACTTCAAATACTAATGTATTAATTAATTCGATTTTAAATTATTGTGCTTGAATAATTATGTTCTAAACTAGAAATAAACGTTTAAAAATAATATTTCAATAAATCTATTATACTATTTTTATAAAAAAGTCAATGTCATGTTCGACTTTGGTAACTATATCACTTTATTGCAAAAAAAAACTATTAAATAATAAAATTAGTTGAATTGTCGCTCGTTTATAATAGAATAAGTTATATATTTCATCCTATGAATGACAATTTGCGTCATTGTACATTTTAGCAAATGGCGAATGAAGCGAGAAATACTTTGTATGCGTCTGAATAATTTTGATATTAAAAATAAATTTTGTCATTCGTTTTTTATCAAAGGCACTTTAATTCTTTTGTCCATTGAAACATGTAATTATGGAAAATATCTGTTTTGTCTCATAAATAAAAATCACTATCAACATTTTTATATGTATTTATAATTAAATGTTTCTATACATTGTTTGTATTTCTGATGCAATATAAAGATAAGATGAAAAACTCAGAATTTTTACTATCGAACTGGTAATATGAATGAAACTATTAAACTTGTGTGTACGTTTCAAGATACATTTTTGTAAATATATTTTAATTTAATTATTTCAAATAAATTTAGTCTTAAAGTAAAAATTATAAATAGATTTTTTAGTTATGTGGATATTTTCTGTGTAATCATATATTTTTCTTTATTTTACATTCTTTAATTCGAAATGTATCTTGCTTAGCTATTCATTATAATAAATACCATACACTTGTACCAGAAATATATATATGTAGTTATATTTTTGTAAAAAATAATTATTCTTTGTAGTATGAAACAAAATGGATTGTTAGTTTTAGAGATCAATTAACAATGGCTCCCTAAAATTTTATATCTTATAAAAAATTCATTATAATTTTTTCACCATTGAGCTTATGTTTGCTAAAGCAAAATACTAGTCAACCGGTCAACAATAGTCCGTAATGGTAATTTGGCAGCATCACATATCATAGGAAACTCCTCAATTGTATTTTAAAAATATATGTACGAGTTATAAATATAGATTTTGTTTCACAATTTTAAAAATCCCGACTAGAGGCACACATAAAAGCAATTTAAATTTACATTCTATTACAGGACACACGAACTGTTATATGATAAACGTCAGGTTTAAAATTTCGTACAGAATCATGTCACAAGTTCATGACGACAACTTAGCGGTCCTGTTAGAGCATCCGGGCTCGAAGCAGGAATTGAACTCGCAGGTAGAAACTTTCCAAAATACCGTTTATGACTACTTTAGCGAGCAATATCCACCACGTAATCGTTATGCTCGCAAAAATAAAGACAATTCGTTCAAATTAAAAATGCGGAAGAAAAAACGGGAATTAATAAAAAATCTACGTATAGCCAAAGCTCTAGGCGACAATCACCTTAGTCATCAACTAGCTAGGGCGTTAAGGTCAATCCTTAAATTAATCCAAGGAATATCGGCGCAAACTGCAGAATATCGCGATAATTTTGACCGGGCAAAACAAGAAGTAGATTTCGATAAAAACCCTTTTGAGTATTCGAAAACCATTTTTAAGAAAGAACGCGGACAGCTTCTCTTGACCAACGATCAAATTTACGACCATTTTAAGAGCACATACGAAGTGCCTAAAAGTTTAAGACGGTATAGGGATCCAAACGATCAAAAAAACCTGAATTTCCTCGAATCGAATTCCACGGCATTCCACCAACGCTAGAGGAACTAAATAGTCAGATCAAGAGGAAGTCGTCTAAATCTGCACCGGGACCCAATGGTATCCCATATATAGTCTTTAAAAAATGTGCATCGGTTCGTAAACACCTCCTAAATATATACGGTAAAATCTGGTCAAGGAAGCAAATCCCGGAGTGCTTCGGGAAAGCAATTTTTGTCCTCATTCCCAAAAAAGATCGAGTTACTGATCCGAAAGATACTAGACCGATAGCTTTAACAAATACTATATCGAAAATCTTTTTCTCGGTTCTACAAACGAGAATGACGCGATTCATGCTCAGCAACAACTATTTTAGGCCAAATCACCAGAAAGGGTTTTTACCCGGGATTTCTGGATGCTTAGAACACAACACCTTGCTGTCGGAGAGTTTAAAAGATGCTAGAAAAAGCGAGCGGCAAATCACTGTTTGTTGGATAGACTTGGAGAACGCGTTCGGGTCGATACAACACGAATTGATGCTATTCGCGCTTAGATGGTACAACTTTCCACCCCTAGTTAGAGATATGATCGCGTCGTATTACTCAAAATTAAGGTTTTCTATAATAACTAAAGAAGGCCCTTCAAAAAGTTTGAGTTATAATGTAGGACTGTTTCAAGGTTGTTGTCTATCTCCAATTGCGTTTAATATCGTAATTAACATCTTAGTAGACAAATTAATCTGTAACGAGAAAAAATGGGGTTATCGGTTTAAGTTTAATAATAAATACACGGAATCCATTTTAGCCTTCGCTGACGATCTCGCAATACTGACACGTAACCCCAAACACTGTCAGGTACTATTGGATGAAGTGGATAAATTCTGTGAGTGGACGGATGGATTGAGGACAAAACCCAGTAAATGTCACTGTCTGTGTCTTGGTAGGCGGAATACAAGATACACCTCATACGATCCGGGACTATCGTTAGGCGGTCAATGCATTTCTATGGTTACGGAAAATGCACCATTTAAATTTCTCGGTCGTAAGATAGATAATATAGGCCGTACTCCATCTTTAGAAGGAATAGTAGATAGCTTTTTGAACGATCTTAACAAGGTAGATAGCCAACTGATAAGTAACGTCAAAAAAGCGTGGATCTACGAGAATTACTTAACTTCACGTTTGAATTGGCCTTTCCTCGTCTATGATTTTAATAAAACCCTTTTGTCAAAGTTAGATGCAGGCGTCATAAAGTTGTTGAAGTTGTGGCTCGGGCTCGCCCTAACGGCTGATTCATCGGCGTTATTTAGGGGAAGCAATAGTCTAAAAAGGCCATCGGAGCTCTATAAACACCTAAGAGTTTCCAAGAGATATATCCTGGGGAAATCCCATGATGACATAGTGACATCGCTCCCAAAAGATGAAGATGCCCCCGAGCTAGAGTCACGACTTCAATTCCATAAGCAATTTATGATAGGAGCGCAAAGTAACAGAGCGGGGTTAGGATCAAATAGGAAAGTCCAAGATGCGGATATATTAAAGTCTTTTATTCGGCAAGACGAGAATGATAAATATAAGATCCATGCAATGAATTTAGAAATGCAGAACGAGTGGTTAGACATAGGAGATTTTTGCATCCCATTAGCATTAAAATGGCGCACTTTAATCTATGATTGGTCGCCAGCATTGCTAAAATTCTATCTCAATGCGTTCCAGATGACTCTCCCAGATCAGAGTAATTTAGTAAGATGGGGTAAAAGTACCGAAAAAACTTGCTATATCTGTGGAAAGGCAGTTGGAACTGCTAAGCATCTGCTGGTGGGATGTAAGGTACTCCTTGACAGCGGTCAATACTCGCGTCGTCACGATAGGGTTCTAGAAGTCATACGTGAAGCGGTTAGTCTTTCGGTAGCCAGAGCGCAAAAGGGAATAACCACAAACGAACGATCAGTAGGTTTTGTGAGAGAAGGCACTAGGGCTACAAAATCAAGCGTCAAGCCTTACTCCATCCTTAAAGCGGCGTCGGATTGGACTATAATGATGGACACGTATGAAAAAACAATATAAAATCCCCGAGGATATTTGTGCGTCGGCCTCCAGACCGGATATATTTTTGTTTTCGCGAATTTTAAAGCGCGTAGTGATGATAGAGCTTACGGTCCCTTGGGAAACCAACATCCCCAAAGACCATACCATCAAGGTCAACAAATATTACGAGCTCACAAACGAACTCACTCGAAATAGGTTCGTAGTAGATTTGTACGCGGTAGAGGTGGGAGCGAGAGGTATAACAGCGAAATCTCTCTATAACCTACTAAAGGACTTGGGCTTGTCCAGAACTCACATTAATGCATTCTTGGAACGTACATCGAAGGCAGCCCTAGTAGGTTCTTTTCAAATTTGGTTAGGTAGGGAGAGGAGCTTGGACAGTGGAGGTGAGCGTATAACGCGCGTTAGTTAAGGGGCCCCTTAAACCTACACTTGGGTCGCAAGTCCCAGGCACTGTTGAAGCTCCTCCCCCTGCAACGCGATGGACCCGGCACCCGCACGGTGAATCCATGGAATGCTGAGAAGTTTCGTCTTGTGTATGTTGGTTGGTTTTGACCATAGTAATAA